ATTTGTAGCAGCTCCAAATTGGTTGAACCACCCGTTGAGTTTTCCCTTGCTGGATCCAGGCATGGCCTGTCATTCTCTCGTTGTTGGGAGCTGCCCCTTGGACATGCTATGTATGGGATTTCTACGGCAGTGATTAGATGTTGCTGTCTGTAGCCTTTGTCAATTGGTATTTGGATGCACGTTCTCTTTGTCTTGGAGTGATTGTTGATGCCGTGGCAATCTTGCAAGCATAGCTTGCTGTGTTCAATCAGGGCGAGCAAGTGGTTTCTTCTACTTAATAGTGTCCTTTGGTCGGTTTGAAAGTGCAATGGCAACTGCAGCTGTTGAGTGGGGGGGGATACCTGTTCAGCATGATCATGGCAGAGTGATGGATATCACGTGGGGGGCATGGAAGGGGAATTGATGCAAAGAATTACCGTGTCCAGTCAGCATCAGTATGATTGCAGCACAGAAACCAAAGAATACCAAAGGATCGCATTCTGTGCTGAGGTTCAATCGTTGCATCACATTGGCGTCCGGAAATCACAGCTGGGCGGTGAAGATGGCAAGATTTGTAGACGGATGAAAGGGTCATGTGAGTCCTGAATGGGTCCTGCACACGATCTTGCTATATGTTGGTTTGTTCTTCTGCAGGGAAGATTGAAAGAAGATAAGGGATCGGAGAATTAGCCGCATATTCTTCATCCGAGCTTGACTGTCCAAGCAGGCCGGGCCTACACGCAGTTTCCCTCTCATTGGGCATGTCCTTTCAAAATTCTCATTGTGCCTGTCGGTCTTAACAAAGTGTCTTCCACACTGTCTTTTGATGCCGTGATAGAAGAAGTATAAAAAGGTAACTCTTGTCTCTTGGCCCTACTGTGATTTGCCATCAGCCCTGGATTGCACTTGCAAGCATGCCTACAGTGAACGGGTTGGTCACTATATCTTCTAACAACTAATGATGGCACCGCATCTCAATACTTTTCATGACATTAGTCATTAATTAAATTCATGATTACATTAATCATTGCATATGAATATCATCATCCTTGGGCATTGAAAAAATGGGCATTGCGATTCCCAGGTGGCTCATGGAGACATTTCTCTGGAAAATGCCTTGTTAAGTCCCGACGGAGAGGTGCAGCAAGAGCATTGGGATTTTGCGTGGTCCAGTTTGTATGTGGTCTGTAAGCTGCCCTTTTCATGTGGCGATTGCCACTTGAACTTGAGGATTCAGCCATTGTAGATTGGAAGCTGAACAGACGACAAAGTTACGTGCAACTGAGAACTTCAGGTGCGTTTGGTAGATTTCGCCGCCTCAGCCGGGAAGCCTGGCTCCGTATTGGAAAAAAATTATCGCAAAATAATGTTCCAAAAGGTTCGGCAATGATGACAGGTACATTCGCTGGGGCTACTTTCATGATAGCAAGTGCCACTTCATGCTCATCCCAAGCTGAAAGCATCTTCCAAACCAATCGGCCTACGTCCAGAGGTGCCTAAAAGGCTTGTTCCTGCCAACCGGGGGTTTGGTTTGCAATTGGGGGTTTGGCATTTTGTTGCCTTTTACAGCAGCCAGGGACATTGCTTCTGGGTCAGTGACAACTATCCGCACAACTGCCACACCTAATCTTATCACATCGCTGCTGGGTCAGTGAGACTTTTCATGACACAGCAGCCAGTCAGAGACAGTTTTCCTCTTATGACAGTGTCGCTGGGTCAAGCTGAAACAGGCTTCTGTGAATTCATGCAAGTCGTGCGGCTAGTAGGTCAGTGACCAACCTTCCACCCACTAGCCCCAGAGATTACAGCTTTGAAGTTGGGAATAAAATAGCCATTGGCAATGACAGCAACGCGCTAAAGAAACCAATAGCCCTTGGATTGGACTTCAAAGTTAAGGACAACAATAATATTGTAATAGATGCTTGAAAAAAAAACGAACAAAACATCAATGGCAATGACATCGCCATGACCACCGACCGAAAAGAATAGGTTGGGTTAATCAAGTGTTTCTACAAGAGTAACAAATAGATGAAAAATCAATATCATACAGGCATGTTATTTGACATTACAATAACATTTACTCCCACAATACGTGGCGGCTGCCTTTTCATAGTTTGTTTCGTGATGCCAGCTTTGGGATTTTGTTGGTTATTTGTTTGAGTTTGGCTGGGCTCTTCAGTACTTGTCCTTCTAATTATTTTCCTGCTGGTTTGGCACCCCAAAATCTGACCCCCACAACTCTACCCTCAGTACCCTTTTTCCTACAGGTTTGCTACATGTTTAGTTGGTTGTGGGGGTCAGATTTTGGGGTGCCAAACTAATCTTGTCCATCTCGGGCGCTTTCCAACGAGCAAAAAAAGACAATACCCACTTGATGACAAAACCAGCTAAAGACAGATTTAAGATGACAGTTTGCAAGTGAAGGGCCCGTCCCTGCTGGAGCCATTTTTTCCCAATCGCGATTGGTTTGATTTCACGCTTGCTGTTAGCAGATGGCCGTGCGAAACGCCAGAGACGTCATGGGAGACTTGGGCTGTGCTAGGCTAGCGTTGCAAAGGCATTGTTTCATTCATTTGTGTCTGACAGAGGTTTTTTGCTTACGCCCAAAGTGTCTGGCAGAGATTTTTGCTTGTTTTAGTGTAGTCGTGGTTTTCACACCTTCTTTGCAACATTGAGGCATTGATTGGCCTTCTTTTGGAGTCCCTGACGAGAAGTATGAGTTTTTGATGACTTACTCCAAGCCTACTACTTTTGATGACCCGCATCAGTGGCAAGTCGTTGCCGACAGCAAGGACGACCGTGTGGAGGTTTTGTTGCAGTGGTGTTTTCACCGACTGGTCTCACTTACTGCAGATCACAAAATTTGTCACCAGGAACGTGACGTTTTTTATGTTTTGTCGGAGCAGTTTAATGCGTGCCCGGTTTGGCAGTGTTCTTTGACACTGTGGGATGTAGACCAGCAACAGGAATGCAGGGTCCAGTTTAGATTGAAGTAGCCGTTTCTTTCGAACAGTGTCAGCTCTCAGTGAAACCTTCGCTTCACCTGGTATGAATATCAAAAATTCATCTGCTAGCACAAAATGAGGTTCGCTGCGTGAGTTTGAAAGCCATGCTGTTTGAACTTGCAGTGGGAGGGTCTCTGCTTTGTTGTGGTTTCAGTGATAAATCAATTCAGCGGCTCAGAGGCTGCTGCGTTTGTTTCAGCTTCAGGCCCGAACTAAAATCAAGTTTCAGCCAGTGGATGCTGTGCTTAGAATTGATGAAGCCGAAAGGTAGGTTTTGATGGTTGAAGTTAGGATGCTCACCATTCTTCAGAGACTGCATGCATGTCAGCGGCCTAGACGCTTTGTTCGACATTGTTTACTATAGACTCAAATTTGGATGCTTATCAGGTTCACTTTTCAAGTTCGGAAAATTTTTATTGTCAGAACCTGGGGTTCAGTTTTAGTTTTAGAACATGTGCGTTGTCAGCGGCCGTTTTCAATGTTGGAATCTGTAAGACATTCAAAATGTTCAGACATTCATCAGATGCAGAACACATAGCAGCCATCAGTCAGGGAGCAACTCTCACTAGCACCTTTGTTTGGAATGGTTCCATGTGCATTTTCAGCTAGGTTTTGTCATGCCGTTTCTGGATCAATGTTTTTTTGCCAGAACATCAGCAAACATTTAACTTCAAATAATCTAAGCTCAAAAGTTATTAACTTGTTTAATAAACAAGCGATGTCCAAATCATTTTCTTTCACGGTGTTTGGGAAACATGCACGATTCAACCCTCGTTCCGGGGGCGAAAAGCAAATGCTGTGGTGCTCCTCCTGCAGCCGCAGATCCAAGCTTGGTCCAACCAGTGCTGATGACAGCTTTGGAGACGGATGAGGCGCATGCAGCTACTTTTCCAGGAGGAATGCAAATAAGTTGTCATTCAGCCCTGTGAAGAGCTAGCTCTTTTGGAACTAAAATGTCGCAAAGGTTGGTTTAAATATTCTTCATCTCTCAATGTGAGGCCTCTGGGATGTCGACAACGCCAACTCCAACTTGTTCACGGCCAAGTGCGCCGTGGAGACGGGTGCCTTCCAATTCATTGATTGGGTGGGTCCAGCTGTCACTGTCATACCTTCAAGTTATGATTCATATCCTGCAAGTATGCCTGGGAGGTGCCGCCTTCTGCTGCTGCTGCTGCTGCTGACCCACGGAATTATCCAAAGGCTGCCGGCCCCAGCTTGGCCTTTGACCAGGACTGGCCATAGTTTTGGTATTTCTTTTTGCACGAAACTTAGTTTTGCATTGCCTTCGGCTGGCACTGGCTGCCAGTTTTGAGTCAGACTTTTGCCAGGAGTTTGAATCTCCGATGATGATGGATGCCAATGCCACGGCCTCTGCAAGTTCACGGCCGGCTGACCATGATCTTGCCAATGATGATTTCCTGCCACACCCAGGTTGGAATAGCACGTTGAATCATGAGGACCCTGGAGACTGGAATGAGGATTGGCAAGTCCATTGGCATGATGCCGATGATTGGTGGGAGCCTTGGCGATCCAATCGACAACTTGAGCGTGAAGCTCGTGGTTTCAATCGTAGACGGGCTGGAAAGAATCAGCACTTTTGGAAAGCTGTGTGCAAGAACCCGTTTCGTGGTTGAACATAGATGAACAACAGTCAGACAACAAAATGAAAAATGAGTGCCAACTTACTGACAGATTGGGTTGCTAGTGGCATGCTCATGTCAAAGCGTGAGTTGCAGCAGATTCCATGGAAACATTTTGTTGTCGGCGCGGTTTAATCTTTATATAATAAGTGAAATTTAGTGGTTGTCATTGAACTAATTCAGCGGCTCAGACGCTTTAAGAAGCAATCAGCGGCCCGGTGACGCTCAATTCTTAGTCTGATTTCATGGTGAAGGTGCAGTGGAAATCAGTGAGCCAGAACTGCGTTGTCAAACGTGAAGCCATCCGTGTCCTGAAGACTAGAGATGAGTGGAGTGGTGCCCCCCCCCCGTAGCAGCAGAGAAAATGTTGAGACTCATGGACAAGGCGAAGAATATCGAAGGTCAGGAGATCACCTTGACTTTTGATCCAATGCTTTCTTTCAAATATGTGGCTTCTGCTCGATTTGCCACCCCGCGTGGCAACGTGGTCGTTTTTGAGCGCGCCTTGCCAGCTGATGATTTGTTCATGTCCTCGACCTGTTTCCTTGTTGACTAAACTTGAGTCTGAATTGAATCTGAAATTTTTGCTGTGAGGCAAATGCTTTGTTTTGCCACCACAGGTAAGACCCAGAAGAACCACATCCTTGCGATGAAGGTCGTCCCGGTGATTGTCGATGTGGAGATGGAGGCATGTCGGGGCAGCAAGTGCAAGATCTCGCCCAGTCTTGGAGGGAAGCCATTGGGCCAGCCTTTCACGAGCCTTGGGCACAAGCCATGGTAGCGTAGTGCATGCAAGATTTTTTTGTGATGTTATTCGGTATCGTTGGACTTAGAATGCGTTATCGGCCTCTAAGGGTCGATGCCTGCACAAAGCCCTGTGAGATCACTGGCCGGATCCTGAAAGTGTGTCGCAAGTCCTGGACCAACGCCTCTCTGCTCCGATTTATTTTGCGGAGTTTCCAAGTTTGGATATTAACCGATTAACCTTGCCATTTTCCAGTTTCGAATGTTGCCATCCACTTGCAGTTGACACGAAACATTTCGAACAAGGCTCATCCCAAGGCAAGTCCAGCCAATGATGAATTTTCCATCGTAATCCAGGTTGACTTGCGCGACTTTGCCGTCAAGTACAAGAAGATGAAGATCAAAAAGGTTCACAAGGACGTTAGCGTGGGACAGCTCATGTCCTGTCCTATGAAAATTCTCAAGCGGGTCTTGCAGAATGGTAAGAAGGTGTCAATGTGAGTCGCCGCTAGTCTAGGGTCTGCTAAGCCTGAGCCTATAGGATTTTTTGGATGATTATCAGAGCGGCCTTCACCTTCAGGTGTCAATTGGCCCCGGGAGTTTGCAGAGCAAGGGAACAATGCGGCAAAATGGCAGCCGCAAGTGGATCACACAATGGTCTGATTAAAATCATGGATGATATTGAGCATGACACTTTTTGAGTATAGGGACTTTGCAGTCACTTTCAAACCAGTTTGCCCATTGCACTGATTGGCAGCAATATCCAATTTGATGATTTTGCGCTTCATGGCCGCAGTGATTTTGAGACTACCATTTGGACTGCCGCTCTGCCTCCGCTCGATCCAACCTAGCCTTAGGACGATGATGTCTGAGGAAGACTTTTTGGCGAATTGCTGCTCGCAGCTCGCAGTTGCCGACAACCTTGACCCTTCCGATTCCTGGGGCTTGCATCGAGTCCATATGCGCAGGTGGCGCTATCAGATGGCGCACCCATATTTGAAGCACCTCATTGAGAACAAAAGCCAGGCCTGATTGTGACTGCGTTGTGGTTCTGCCAATGATCTGATTTCGATTTAATGACGTCCCTTTGTCAAATTGGGATCCCATTGGCAAACTGCGCTTGTGTTCGGCAGGATGCGTTGTTTGCAGCTTCGAGCACACCAGCAGATGATCAGGAGAGAGAAATAGTTTTCATGGGTTTCACTGTTTCCACAGTCATTGAGTGTTGGTAATTTTCCCGTTGGTTTGGCGGCGACTTTTTTGCGCCCGAAAAAGGGTCCCAAAAACAAAAAAAGTCGCCAGTAAAAATCCCAAACCAAAAGGAAAATTACTATTGAGTGTGCTTTCCACACTTGGAATTTAAACATTTTGGCGCCAAAATGTTGCAATCTGGCCTGGCTCCATTCTGCAGGGGGATACACAAAGGTCTCTACAATATATACATGCATATGCGAAGGCCGTTTTTCTTTAAAGGAGCTCGGTTTGAAAGAAGCAGTTGCTACACATGGAGCCATTTGATGATTTAGTAAGTGCAGTGTTGATTCTGATTTGAAGCCATATACCCCACTTCCACGTGTATACCAAGTCATGTTGAGCAGGATTCTTGTTTTGCCTCGCTGGTTTTCTTGATTCTCTGTTGCAGGAGGCTGGTGCGGCCTCCAAGGAGGAAGAGCAGCTCGCCGAGATCGCGCAAGAAGACTCTAAGCCTGACCCGGTCTCATGTCCTGCAGACGCTGACTTAAAAAACGAAACCAATGGAGCCTCTAGCTCTGATGGCAAATAAATAACCTCATGGGTCTCAGCTGCAAAGTTTGATACTATCAGCAATATGGGGATTCTCAGATCCAAGCGTGCTAGTATTTTCTCAGCAGGCCTAGTGGATCATGAGCAACTTTGTCGTTTGGAAAAAAGGATATGGGCAGCAAAAATGGCTTTGAAACCCAGTGTAGGTCAAACTCGTGCTTTATATTCAGAAGCCCGGCAAAACATTCTAAACAGTATTGTATATATTATATATCCGACCAACTTGACATTGAGCAGAGTATTTGAGAAACAAGGTTTTACTTAGCGGCCACGAGCCGCTTTGTTGTGATTGTCATTGTTCCTGGCCTGGTCTGACTTTGTTCGTCAAATTCTTCAGGAAAGGGTGTTCCAGCAGCGGCCTTGAGACGCTTTGTTTCTAGATGTTCTAGCAACTGTTAGATGTGTTGCTATCTGTAAGGAATACTTCAGCAGTTTCATTCAGCGGCCTCGAGACGCTTTGTTGCTAGAGTCAAACTGGAACTGCTTATTATGACAGTTCTGTTGCAAGATTGTGGGCTCAAAAATAATGAAAAAACTAAAGCAGAAATGGCCGTGTGGCACAGGGCCGTACTGACCAAAGGAGTAGCTCAACTATTTTGTGCTTTTAGCCATTGTGTGGTAATAAGCCAACATAAGACTACAGATGAACATAGGTGGCTATAACCAACCGGTTTCCATGCTCCACCTCTAACACCAAGACAGTTGTAATTTGATTTAGTTTCATGTCTGCTTGCGCACGGTCGAGCTGAATGGCAATCCGTCAGAGACTGGCTCGATGGAAATTCAGGACAAGTTGAGGTGTCCAGGCTGAAGGCTGCTGAGATGGCTCAATGGAAGTTGACGGTCTATCAGATGACGAAGAAACCGGGAATGAGGTTTTGAGGCGGTGGGTGGCCAGTGTGGAGAGGCTGTCAGACGATGATGATGATGATCTTCGTGTTGCCGTCCCTGCTAGTAGTAGCTCGGGTGCAAAGGGCCCACGTGACAGGAGAGCTCGACACCTGGGCCGTGAGGAAATTACCCAGGAGTCGAAGAAGCTTCGTTCGGTGATTTTTTCAACGTGCAAATGCAAGGATCGTTTTTGCAGAGAAGGTTTCCGACAAGACCGAAGTGCAGTGGAAGCTCTTCTGCAGCATAGGATTCAACTGCTGGAATTGCCGAAGAATGACTCAGACCGGGAAGTTTCCAGCCTCCTTCATTGAGGTAAGTTTTTCATTGCAAACAGAAACAGAAAGTCGGCAGCAAACTTGCTGTCAGCAGCCTGTGCAAGATTTGTGGGGGGCGGTCAGTTTTCTTGGGCCCACCCATGTAGAAAAGCGTCAGTTCATAATATATGTATATTTGTTTGGGATTCTCAGGCGTGACTTTTGCTGTTTTGTTTTTTTTTGTGTTTTTTTGAGTCATGTTAAGCCTGTGTGCTGTGCTTTGGTCAAACTTGTTGGACCCGCAAATATTTGAGGATCAGAAAGTGTTTGGCAGTTGGTTCTGTGCTTGTGCAGCACCTCAGGATTAATATTAGTATTGGGCCTGTGCTGACCTGTACGGAACCTATGTTGTCCCGTTTTGGGTCTATCTTACACTTATGTCGGGTCGACATAATGCTATTTTCTTCGCAGCTGGACATAGCATGCTGCATTTTTGGCTGCACCTGGCTCCCACTTAGTGTTTCCACCCGCCACATGCCATCCATGCCAGGTTTTTGAGCTCCTGAAGAAGCAGGATGTGCGCGAGAAGCGCGGCTTGCAACTACAGGGAGTGTCTGTGTGCCAAACAAGCTTCAGGAAGATACTTGGTTTGGGCAAGCACCGTTTCGGCCGTCTCAGGGCCAGTGTCCTGAACCAAGAGAAAGATTGCCCCAGGGACCAAAGGTTCATGCCGCAAAAGTTTTCTCGGCTGCCTCCAAGCAGTGTGAGACCTCTGGTGGTTGAGTACCTTCAACGACTCTATGAGAGCACAGCAGAACCTTTGCCGGAAGCTTTCCAGGCGCAGACTGAGATAGCTGCGACGCAGCCTCAGGGTGTGGTGCGCAAACGGGGCAAGCGCCCGCGCCACTTGTTCAAATCGGATCCTGCTGCAGACAAAGGGATGAAAGGCCACAAGGCCGAAGCGAAATTTCTGCCGCCTGGAACAATCTTGGAATACCTCGAGCTATGCCGAGCTGAATTCCCCGATGCCAAAATCGGCAGAAAGGTGTTCTGTGCAGTATTTTGTCTGACAATCGTTGGCAACTTTTTGATGGCTTTGGCATCATTCCAAACCTTTCAGCCCTCACAGGAGATGATTTCATGTTTTCCTTCTCCCAAACTTTGTGATCCCAAAGTCCAGCATCAAAAGATATCTTGTGGATCTGACCCACAGCCATAGTCCGTCCAGTTTTTTGACGGTTTCCTTCTCCCAGCCTGTGTGACATCAGGTATGGGAAGAAGAGTTTCGCGACTTGCTCTACATCCGCCCACGGTCCCAACATGCAGCCTGTTCGGAATGTGTGAGACACAAGGTGATCATCAAAAAACTGCGAAAGAGCGTTGGAGCTCGCCGAGCGCAACTGGCACTCTATCGCGAACACCTGCGACGCCAATATTGCGATCGAGTTTGTTATTGGAAGGCTCGTGGCCTTTCCAGGCTTAGAGAGATGGCGGGCGATGGCAGCGTCAGGAAGATCACTGTTATTGTCGATTCAATGGATCATTCAAAGTTCGCTGTCCCGAAGGCAGTGGCTCTTCACTCGAAAGACTTTGCGCAATTCTTGCGGCCTACCTTGTCGACTACTTGTGTCATCATCCACGGCTATATGGTCCTCTTCTACATGAGCGAACCCCATGTGGCACATGATTCATCCTGGACGGCAGAAGTGGTATCGCATTCTTTGCACGAGTTGCAAGGGCATTTCCCAAGTCTGGATCTGCGGCAATGCCATTTGAGCCTGCACGGGGACAACTCGTCCAAGGAGTTGAAAAATCAGGCCCTCATGCAGCTCTGCTCCGGGTTGACGAGCCAAAGGAGACTGAAGAGTGCAAGCATGTCCTTTTTGCAATCTGGGCATTCACACGAAGACGTGGATCAATGCTTCAGTTCCCTTTCAACTTGGATTAGCTCCCAGCCTGAACTACACACACCGCATCAGTACATACAGACTGTCCAGAAGTGGCTGGACAAAGCGTCCACGAGGCCAGAGGAGCAGTTCAAGAAAGTGTACAAGGTGGACCAGACCAGGGCATGGCTCCTTTGTTGGCAACACATGATAGACGTGCATTTTCTCTTGCCATTGGCTTGTGATTTGAACTGAAAATAATTGACAGTTGAGAGGCTACATCTGCCCTCATGCTGAATCGGACACATTCTACTCGAAGCATAGACTTTGAGCAATTTTGGATAGATCTTGCCCGCATTGATGGTAGTTTCATTCTGTGGTTGAAACATGGCAGTGGGCTAGCAGCATGGTTGGCCACGCTATTTGGTAGATTTTCCAGCCCAGCCAAACTTAGAGACTTCCGAGTTACGTCTGCCCGGGTTATTTGGATTATGCTCAGGAAAGCTCAGCTGCACCAGCTTTTCGAGCATGCCCAGATCAAAGGAGTGGGCGGCCCCGGCGCCCCGCACTTGTTCTTGTTCGAGCGTGCGGAAGATGTTCGCATCTCACTCTTAGAAGATTGGATGTCGTATGTCGTATGTTTTTTTGATTGTGGCAATTGGCATTTAAAGGCCAAGATTCACAACAGTTTGCCACGGATTCACCGGATTTGGGTTTGAAAGGTTTTCGCAATGTCCAGAAACAACCCCAAGACATTTTATGTTAACTTATGGTGTACCATTGTTGATATTATCTGGAAAAAAGGGGAGGTCTCCAAAATTGATGCAACAACAAATTTGCTCTGAATCATCCTGGATAAATGTGGGCACCCTTGTTTTCTTGTTTTCGTGTCTTGCCAACGTTCAGCTTGGATTTGCTTTTGATTCAGGTTTGGTTCCCACCGCGGCTTCAACGAAATTCTGGCAGCGGCGTGGATATGAACCACGAGGTGGAGACGTCCTCCTCCGGATCCTTTTTTAAAAGTTTTAGTAAATTCGATCAATGATGGTCGCCATGTTTTTGTGTCTGGCTGTCAAATTGATTCTGCTGACATGGTGGCATGTTTGGGCCACACATGCAGCGTTGAAAGATCAAAGAATTGTTCTTGGAGAATGACTTGAGGACCAAGCAGCACATGTCGGACGAGCATTTCCGAGCTGAGATCATCCTACACTGCCCTGAAGGTTTGATTCGAGATGTGACAGAGATGGTTCCTCCCGGTGTCTCGGCAGGGGCAATGAATATTGGAATGTTTCAGAGTTTGGCCCGGCCCTCCCGCGTGTGGGGTTCCGGAGGTCTCTGGCGCGGTCAAAAACTTCCAACAAAAACATTTTTGTTGATGGTAATTTGGTGCCATATTGGGTTTACATGGGTTGCATGGGGGTCTCCGGGAGGGAAAAAAGAACCACAACAAAAAGTCGACTTATTGTGAAGGAAGGTTCTGTTGTGGTGCCATTTTGGGGCTATGTGGCTAATGTTGGACGTCTCTGGAGGCAAAAATTAAATCCCAACCGAAACTGTTTCGGTTGGGGTTCAACCTAGTTCTTTTTCGGTGCTATTTTGGTGCTATGTGGGGCCAATCTTGGGCCAATCTTGGGCCAATCTTGGGCCATTTGGGATCTATTTTGGACCCATGTTGGGTCATTTGGTGGGCTATGTGGCGCTCCATGGACGTCTCTGGAGGCAAAAATTTAACCCCAACCGAAACTGTTTCGGTTGGGGTTCAACCTAGTTCTTTTTCGGTGCAATTTTGGTGCTATGTGGGGCGAATGTTGGGCAATTTGGGGTCTAAGTGCTTGACCCCTTCTAAAGACCCCACCAAGTCCCCCGAAAAATTGTTCTTTTCCTGGGTTTCCAAAGGAAACTTGACACTTGATGGGGTCCGTTTTCCGGGGCGAACCCACGTGGAAAATTTGCGTTCCGTGGGGGTCTGTGGGAGGGAAAACCGAACGCCAACAAAAAACGACTTTTTGTGAAGGTTCTTTTTTGGCGCCATTTTGGGGCTATGTGGGGCCAATGTTTGGCAATTTGGGGTCTAATATTTACCTTCAAGAGACCTTCCGGAACCCTTATACCTTCACGTTTTCTATTCGCGGGCGGTGGTCAGGGGTTTTCAAATTCCACATAGTTTCATTTTAGATAAGAAGAGGTAGATGGAAAGGTTCGTAGATAGAAAGAAAGATAGTAAGATAGACAGGTATCTGTTTATATTTTTTCCATGCAAGGTCCCTGTGCACACCGAAACATTATCCTAAACAGTCAAGCTGCATTGCCACTGGGAATGCCACTGAGTCACAAATGCTGACCGGAACATGAGAGAGGATGACAAGTCGGCCAACCCTGAAAGATTGAAGCACTACGCAGCGAAAATGCGTCGCTCTACCTGCATTGATTTACATGAATGAATGAAAGGTTATGCAATATGTTGGTGACAGTGACCAAGCAGTCCATATGCACAGGTTGTTGTTTTATTCCATTTTTTCAGATTCACTATTGCTCATTTGATTGCTCATTTGCCGTCCCAAGGTGCATATCCGTACCAACTGGAGGAAGCTGCCTGTTTTTTGGAGCAGATGGCCGGTGGAGAGCTGGAGAGGTTGCCTTTGCTTCCCCTGGGCAAGCGCCTTGCCCGCAAGTTGACATGCAAATTGAATGCACACAGGCCATTGCCATGATCTATTTTTCAGTATGTGCAGGACAGGCCTCGGCTGGAAATTCAAGTTGAATCCTTGTTTTTCTGCATGCAAAGGATGTGCCAAAGATTGCAATCCATTGATGGGTTGTTTCTTATTTTTTCAGGTGCGCACTGCCACATCATCAAGCCAAGGTTTTTCTACCCGGGGCCTGCAGTTGGCAGAGGCATGGGTCCACCGCGTGTTGGCCAGAACTTTGAAGCAGTGGCTTGGTTTTTGAATGAACAGGAGCAAGAAGGATTATGTTTATGTTTTTTTTGATGAATGCGGAAGTTCAGGGTAGCAGCGCCCATTACAACTTCTGTTTGTTTCACATAGAAGTTTTTTCACTCCTTGCGTCCTGTTGTGCCAAGGCCCCAAATGCTATGAACCTGCAGCGGGAGCAGTTGCCAGGGCGGCAGCTGGCCGACTTTCGGAGCCGCTACACCCGGAAGTGTGTCTATAGTTTGGCATCCCACCTGTGGGCGTCTGGAAATGTATCGTTCCAGGAAGGTCTCCATGTTGCTGAGGAGGCATTCAAAGAAGTACCATGTGATCCCTGATGTTTTTTTGTCTTCAAATGTTTCATAAGGGTTCAACTCAACATAAAAATAGTTCTGTTTTGGGCGTTGCTGTTCCTGTTGAAAGCTATTAGGATCCAACTTAATCAGTGGTCCGCTTTGCGTGAAATCAATGTGCAGCATTTGGATTGGAAGGGCCGCTCATGTGGCGTATTGCATGCGCAGGGTTTTTAAGTTGGATCCCATTAGCATCCAACTGAAACCAGGTACCCCAACAGTTGTTTCAGTTTATGTTTGAAGTCAGTACCCTGAAGTTTCAAACTAGGGTATTGGATCCTTCTAGGATACAGCAAAAAAACGAATGAAGTATGGAGCTGAGCTTAAATAAATGAATTACCTTATGTTGGACTCGACCAGGGGTGTAATCCTAAACCCTAAACTATTCGGCATTTAGGATGACGCAATTCAGTTTAGGTCTTGTCTTTATCGGGCACAACTTTGAGATTTATGTTGGATCCCATTAGGATCCAACATAAATAAACGAACTACCTTATGTTAAATCCAACCAGGGGTGTAATCCTAAACCCTAAACTATTCGGCATTTAGGATGACGCAATTCAGTTTAGGTCTTGTCTTTATCGGGGCACAACTTTGAGATTTATGTTGGATCCCATTAGGATCCAACATAAATAAATGAATTACCTTATGTTAGATCCGACCAGGGGTGTAATCCTAAACCCTAAACTATTCGGCATTTAGGATGACGCAACTCAGTTTAGGTCTTGTCTCTATCAGGGCACAACTTTGAGATTTGTGTTGGATCCCATTAGGATCCAACATAAATAAATGAATTACCTTATGTTAGATCCAACCAGGGGTGTAATCCTAAACCCTAAACTATTCGGCATTTAGGATGACGCAATTCAGTTTAGGTCTTGTCTTTATCGGGGCACAACTTTGAGATTTATGTTGGATCCCATTAGGATCCAACATAAATAAATGAATTACCTTATGTTAGATCCGACCAGGGGTGTAATCCTAAACCCTAAACTATTCGGCATTTAGGATGACGCAACTCAGTTTAGGTCTTGTCTCTATCAGGGCACAACTTTGAGATTTGTGTTGGATCCCATTAGGATCCAACATAAATAAATGAATTACCTTATGTTAGATCCAACCAGGGGTGTAATCCTAAACCCTAAACTATTCGGCATTTAGGATGACGCAATTCAGTTTAGGTCTTGTCTTTATCGGGGCACAACTTTGAGATTTATGTTGGATCCCATTAGGATCCAACATAAATAAACGAACTACCTTATGTTAGATCCAACCAGGGGTGTAACCCTAAACCCTAAACTATTCGGCATTTAGGGTGACGCAATTCAGTTTAGGTATTGTCTTTATCGGGGCGCAGCTTCGGGATTTATGTTGGGTCCCATTATAATAGGATCCAACATAAATTGACCAATGAAGTTTGAAGGTTTAAACCTTCAAAGCTTAACTTCAATCCTAAACCGGAATTTTAACTGACGCAGCCATGTACTTTTGGTTTTTCAGTTTGGGAGCCAAACCATTACCAGAAATGACATGAATTCTCAAGGTCAACCCTAACCCCAAATTGAAGCAGTTCACTTTGGGTGTTAAATATGGTTTTTGCGAACATACTGTGAGATTTGTGTTCGAAGCCGTCTGGACTCAACCTACTCATCGACCTTCTGTTTGATCCAATCAGTTGTTATCACTTTGAACCCTAATCTGATCGGCATTTACATTGATAAGTTCAGTTCGGGTTCATTTCTGCTTGGATGTAACTCATAAACATCTAAACCCTAAACCCTAAAACCCAAAACCCTAAACCCTAAAACCTTAAACCCTAAACCCTAAAACCCAAAGCCCTAAACCCTAAAACCCTAAACCCTAAAACCCTAAACCCTAAAACCCTAAACCCACACCTTAAAACCATTACACCTTAAACGCTAAAAGCCGAAAACCTTTAGTCACTTAACACCAAAAGCCTCAAACCCTAAGCCCTTAAGCCTGGTTTATAGACAGCCTCAACCTGGATTCTCTTAAAGGTCATTTAAGTTGGATCGATTGCAGGAGACCGTTTCCCCACAGAGTTGTTTCTCCTTATTTTTGCGGGTGCTTTCTTCAAGGCTCAAGTGGCGCCTAAACAGGTGTGGAATTTGAGGCGTCAGCGCCTTGCCAAGATGCCGGGGACAACTGGCGGCAGGAAGCGCCCATCCTTAGGTGGAGGTGGTGCCCCGATTGCCAAAAAGCGATCACTTGAGGATTTTTTTGGAAATCCAGCAGATGGCCCGCTTGACATCCCCCAAGAAGCGCAGATGGCTGTCACGGCAATGGGAGAGTGGCTGTACGCCCCCCAAGACAACCATTTGTTGACCAAGTTTTGAGTTGAGCCGTGCCGCAATGTCAATGTCTGTCCTTTCTGTTGTTGTGCCGAGGCAGCAGAAGACCGACGTGCACGGCAGTGTGGGGGAATACTTCAAAGATGCATTCTCCGAGGAGGTTTGCCTCTGGACAAAGTTTCTTTTGACCTTTTGTTGGCCTTTGCTTGTCAGTGGGTTTTGAGTTTGTGGTTTACTTTTTGCAGGCCGTGATGCAGAAGTTTTTGACCTTTGTGGACACAGAGTTTCCACCCACGCCTGGTGTGTGAAAACCTCAGCCCCAGTTCTTGAACCCCCCCATGCCTGCTTAATTTAATCAGCACCATGCTCAGGTCTTACCTGACGCATGCTGACATGCAGCGCGGTGGCACTGGGGTCAATCTCAGACCCTGGATGCTATCCTTTCAGCCCGATGCAGGGTTCAAGGGCTACGCTGAGTTTGTCGTTTACTCAGACCTTCGTTTTCCTGTTTTTATGAAATCCAATGCAATGGTTGCAATGCTCTCAGGACACGGTTTTGACTATTAGCCAACTAATTTGCCAAAAGGGGCCCTTGACTCAGCCAGCGAGATTCCGACCTCGAGTGATCATTCTGTTCAGCATTTGCCAAGGTTTGTCACTGACTCCAATCTTGGAGGTGTTGAGCGACTCACAATATGCTTGCCTGTGACTGGCACTATGCAGAGCAAGCCAGGGTTGAAAGCTTCAGATGTGGCATCCGATGCAGATGCATTAGTTGGACCGTGCAGCTTGTTGATGGTGAAAGGCTGGACACGTGCTGTGTCAGCGATGTGTGTCCTTTCCCATTGCTGGGAAGATCAGGAATTCTTCAAGGCCAGCTTCCGTTTTCTTTGATGCCATGTCTGTCAAACTTTGATCTCAAATACTTCACGCGGTCGTGTTTTGATTGGGGTTCGTTTTCAGTAAAAATGCAGGCCCTTCCAGATGATGTGAAGAGGCCTAGCCTGCAATATTTTTCTGTGCCGGCCTCCAAGCCATTGCGATATTTTTCACCTGCCAGGTCTTTTTCTGTCGTCTACGGGGCAGTGTTCTTTTGTGAGCCCGGTGATCCCAAGGGTTTGCCGAGTTGAATTGCCAAGAACAGAGGTGCACCCTGCTTTTTGATTTACAGCCGTGCGCATGCAATTTGTTGACTTCAGCAACTGTAGCATTGGAACCTTCATATCCTTTTTTTCTGCCAGGCATAACCCTTGAGAATGTGGCATCGCGCAAGAAGCCAAATGCGTTCAACCTGTATTGGCAATTGCGTTTGCTGAAGGGAAAGGCTTCTGAGTTCGAAGAGGCAAGATAGGGATAAACAATGTGTTTGCTCAGATGCAAGTCCAGTGCCGCTTTAAGTGCCTGCAAACAATGCGTGATGTTTAGACGTTGATCATCTCCAGCCTTTCAGGCATGGTCGTCCGTATCGAACTTCCAACAGGCATACTCTGTTGGAAAGGGTGAAGCCTCGGCTGCTCTGGCTCTCCTCAAAGAGATTGACCCGAGAATCACTGACAGATTGTGGTCTTTGGTTCAGTGGCCCAGCTAAACTCGCAATGCTTTCTTGCATGTTGCTCTCCCTTTCTTCTAACAACAACTTCCCAGGCAATATTCGCAGGGCAAGTTCTTGCTTCACGAAGCACTGGCGTCTGGATTGCTGAACAGCGATTACAACGGAGGCGTGGGGGCCCACGCCCCTTGGGAGCCCCACATGATGAACACCTTTCCAGTTCTCGACCTTTTAGTTTCAAGAATGCAGAGCGACCATGAGAACCAAGCTCCCAAATGGAGAAAACCCTTTGGAGCAAAGGATATCGAAGCTCAGCAGTTTGTTTTTTGATTTGAAATGTTCTGGGGATCTCGGTTCTAGGATGGTAGGCTATGATAGGAATACAAATTGTAGCAGCGGTTTCGCACCGCTCATCTCAGGAAGTCATGCAGCGGAACTGTTGCGGGTACCTGGCCGCGGTAGAGGCCTTTAAACAAGCAGTGCCGGAGGAATTTGCGCGCCAAGAGCTCCCAGCACTGCAGAAGCAGTGCCGTGGCTAGAACTACTTTTGGCCGCTGATTGTCAGAGGGCCCAAATGCCTTGACTATCAAACGATTGCAACAGATTTTATGGCACCAGTTTCTTATTGTCCAGTGTCCCTGCAGGTTCTTCCAGAAACACATGGACCGAGACTTGCAGCATTTGTTGGAAAGCACAGTGCCGCCGATCCAAGTGGAGAGATTGCCGCAGTTTAAGAGCTGCATCTTCAAGTACAAGAGGAAGGCCGAAATAGTTTGTAAGAATAATATTGAATGGCAGCTCCAGCCCACTTAGTGGCAGGTCAGTGAGCAACAAGAGGCCGAAGCCGAGAAGTTACTTGGCATTGGTTCTCGCATTTTCTCAAGAGCACAAATGCCATACTCATTCATCATCAGGCTTCGGATCGAGATGGAGCATGTCACTCTGAAGCAGAAGTTGGTGGCGGTGCAAGCGGACTTAACAGCCATGGTGGGATGGGCCCAGAGGAAGCAGGATGATTCAAACCGTCAAGGCACGTTGGATCACAAGTATGTGAAAGACCGATATGATCGGGGTGTCAATGCAGTGGCGAACTTCTGTTCTTCCAAGCACCACATTGTCGCCCAAGAGGATTTCGGAGGCACACACCAGGAGGTCGTTCAGTTCATGCACGGCTTGACAGAAACGGAACAGCCGTGGCCTGATTATTAACAGCAGCACCCTTTTTTGTGTCGAAGTCAGGTTTAACATTGATCACGTCAGTCATTTAGGTCTCTTCAGTTCGTCATCATCATGACTGGATTCAGCCCAGGACTTGTTTGTTGGTGCTTGACATCTCAAGTTGGCCAGGAAGTTGCCACCTCAGACTCATTCTGCTGCAAGAAAGGTACCGTTGGGCATGTCCCTGCCTTGATCCTGTTTATTTTTAACGTCGTGCTTAGCTCTTCTTAGCATTTTGTGACCCGATCACCGATTAGGATCGAACTATGTGGATGATGCCATTGATGTGGCCAAATCAATTTGTTCAGCAAGTTCCAGATCTGCTTTCCTGCTGCTGGAGCCAGTTGTTCATGCTGGGGTCAGCCAGATGGCACTCGTTCAGAAACGGCGACGTGCTCACGACAAGATTTACACGTTCCGGGTTTGCAACCCATATGAGCTTGACAGATATTGGCAGCCTTAAACTTATTAAGTAGAATATTTGTGGTTGGAAGCTCGCAGACAGCAGCCAAACTTTGTGATTCATGCAGCATGCAGCCATAGTCCCTCAGGTTTTTCGACGTCCGTGAAGGAGCCATTGTCTTCAAGGACCCGCAGCATGCCAACGACAAGCGTCCCACCTCTCAATTCTGCACCCAAGCTGCATTCACATGCTGCATCCTGCAGCTTGCTGATTTTTAAATTCAAACGCTAGTGACTAAGTCTTAGTGGCCATCCCCATTCAGGTTCGTTCAACATTGAGAAGGTTCACCAGGGCCAGAGTGTGTGGTCGCAGTCAAAAGCAATGCTTGGCACCATCGGCCCTGTTCAGAGGGCGAGAGTATGCGACCTTCGAAATTTTGATCCCGATCGGGCTTTGGCGCCGACTCACCGAGTGCCTGGAAGGGGTATATCTTGTAATGATTTCGAAAAATAAAGTGTTGTTGTGAAATTGACAGTGGGCTTGACTCAGCCTTGATTTCATTTGAAAAGAGGTGATGCAACGTGGGATTGCTTCCTGCTCGGAGATTTTGGACCAAATTGTCGATGGCCTCCAGTTGCCAGCAGGGAGCAAGATTGTGTTGGTGGACTTGATGATGAATCGGTTTTTCGTCCTAACCCAGAGTCATTGGATTTCGACTTCAAAATTCATATCTTGACAAGTTGGCGTTTGTTTTTCATCTGCAGGTTTCACGAGTTCAGCCAAGCAGTGTGGCAGAAGCAGAAGACCGTCTTGAATGGTGGTGCTGGGTTGGATTGGCATTTCCTGGGCTTTATCACTCAGGACGAATATGACGACAGCAGGGATGTGGTTTTGTCTCGCGTGCCCGGCATGATGTCAGGGTTGATCATGTCAGCAGCTGGGCTGTGCTTGTGTTTTTCATGCCATACTCCGACCGCAAATGCGTGTTTCCCTTGTCCCTTGCCTTGTGTTTGGGTCAAGGGCCAATAATAACTGTGTGTGCAGTTCAGGAATGGTGGGATCATTCCACAGAAGCTGGGCCAAAGCAGAGGATCCGTCAAGCTTTCAGTGAAGCCAGACCAACACTGGAGGTCTTGTGTCTCAAGGAAGGTGCTTTGGCGAGCCTTGCACTGTGCGTCGTAGTTACATTTTCATTGCCTTTTGCACGACAGCTTCAATTTTAAGAGTTTACTTCCAGGATCTCCCAGGTCGTTTTTTTGTGACTTATGTTTCTTTTTTCACATGACTCATCCCTCCAGGATCCTTTATACTATCTGTCAGCTAAGGATTCCGGATGCACTTGCAGAGTCACTTCCCACTGACTCAGACGAGCTTGGCGAGCAGATTGGAAAGGACTTGAAAGCCTTCAATGACAAGTGGGGCCGTACCTTGCGCGGCGAAGGAGGGACATCACCAGCTGCAGGAGCCCAGACTGGTGGAACTGGATCCCCTACTCCTCCTGCCCGTTTGCTGTGCCGACCGGTCTTCGATGAGACAGAGAGACCCATTGATGTGAACAAAGAGTACACCTTTCCAGAGGAGGCAGTGGTTCCCATGGAAACCCTCACGGAGAAATTTGTCATGCAATGTGATGTTACAGTATATTCCAACTTGAAACTTTTCTTTCCAGTTGGGGCCTTGTATTTTTTGTTGGGATGATCATCCCATTCCAAGGATTCTTGCAGGTGGTCCAATCTCGCGCCAGAATGCTGCTGGCATTCACGTATGGGTCGGGGGTGACTTCAAGTTGTACTTGGTCAACACAGGAGATGTTGAGTGCGCACTGGGCCCTGGCGAGCTCTTTGGCTTTAACACAGGAACTTTCAGCGAGATGGTGAGTTCCAATGCACGTTGCTCGAAGGATGTCCTGCACTTTTGTATCAAGTTGGACAGTGACACCGTGGTCTATGAGAAGGCTGCCGTGTCGTTGGCCGATCTCATTTGTGATTTGGCTGGCGAGCGGGGAGTCATCGACATCCAGATGCAGGACCACAACCTGAAACCTGTTACGGAGGCATGGAAAAAGCCCTTGTTCACCTTTGCTTGTGGAAGCTTTTTGGTGATGATAACTAATGTTCACCTCATGTCAAATTAAAATCACTCCTTGCTCTCCAAGATTCATATCCAACATGCAGGTGAACGGCTCTCCGAAGACATTTCGGTACGAAGTCATCGCGAAAACGAAAGGCATGGTTTTCACGCCGAAGAAGCTGGCTCTGGGAGATTCCGAGAATGTCATGTCGGTCCGCGGCACCATGCTGGGGGCATCCTTTGCTGAGAACTACAAGCAGCTGCCGAAGACAGACGTTGCCCGAACGCTATGGGAGGCACTCTGGTTCTCTTCAGATTTTGCCAGGAGATAAAACCTTAGAGAAAGATGGGAACTGTTTTTTAATTGACAGGTTAAGCTTCTTTTCCTCAGTGTAAATTTCTTCTCTCATGGTGGTGTGTTTACAATATTTTGACACCAGGTGAGCTTTGAGCAGAGCGTGCCGGCCCAGATCTTGCCGCGAAAGCCCAAGTTCTGGCTGCTTGCCAATGTGAAGTTGCGTCCCAAAAGTGCTCATTGCATCCAAGTATGAGGGCGGCTGCTGAATAGCCACTTCCAAGACTTTGGCCATCACAGGTCAAAGCATTTTGTAAAGATCAGAGAGGAGCTTAGAATTTTCCAAATCGAGGGACATGCTCACTGAGTAAGGGATGTGGTGCCTTTTTTTTAAAGACCAAACCTTAAATGGTTCCAAGCTAAATTGCGAAGGCGGTTTTGTTTGGACACTACATAACTTACATTTGACATCATCACTAACAATGTACTTATTTTCCTTACTGTTTATATTTTCTCGGCCGTGTCCCGCTACCGGGCATGTGTGGAACACTGTCCTTCTCTGATCAGAGCTCGGCTGATGTAGCAGCATTAGACAGTGATGCAAGAAAATCTTGTTTAAGTGATCGAGGGATGGTAGAGATGATTTTTCCGTTGCAGTCAGTTTGTGAAGGTTTTCCAACCAGGGCATTCAGTCCAGCCTTGCTGAGCAGTTTGTGTCGATGCTTTTTTTTCCTCCATAGGTAGCTTTGATTACCTGCCTGCCGCTTCTAACGATCCTTGTCAGTATCTAGCTTTTGGCGGCCATCAGCATGCCGCCTAAGAACGTCACTGACCTATCCGATGATGACATCCAGCGGCCCAGTGAGGGTGTGACAGCACCTCCTGATACTACCCAGCAGCCGAATGAGGTTGAGCCAAATCGTGAAGCCTCAACTTCAAAGCCTCCTGTCACACCTCCTGCCAAGCCTGCTGCCGAGAGCGCTCCAACTCCCAAAAAGAAGACCGTCAAGAACGCTACTGGGAAGAAACGTCGTGTGAAACCAACTACAGCCAAGAGCAAGAGCTCAGTCAAGGATGATGATGGGAAGAAAAAGCCAGAACAGGATGATGATGATGATGATGATGATGAAGAGATGGAACCGGTGAACAAGAGGCCTGCGATGAAGCGCCCTGCCGCTTCTCAGCCGAAGCCGAAAGTCCAGAGCAAGGCCAAGGCCAAGGCAAAGGGACATGCTGGCCGTGGTAGAATTACTCGTATGGAGACAACGTTGGAGAAAGGGCTCAAGGTGACGCTCAACCGCTACAAGCGTGATGGAACGTATGGAATTTGCCTTGGTGAGCATGAAGTGCTCAAAGCAGCTTGCTTGGCATTAACTTCAGTCGATCGAGTGCGTGTTTGCCTCTGTTCAATTCCCATGTTTTGTTCCTTTGAGATGGGCCACTGTTCCAAAGTAAGTTGTTTGATGTTTGATTTCAGTCACTCTTGATTCCAGGTGAAGCCTCGCAGAGACGTCACTCCAAATCAAGTTGATGACATCGCGGAAGCTCGGCTCAGACTAATTCTAACTGGTGCATGTTCTCCCTGATTTGTCATTGTTTTTTTTGCCTTGAAATCCTTCAGTCACAATCAACGGGTCGTTGAAGAAACCATGGCCTGCAAAAAACAAAGTTTTTTTTCGCATTTGCCTGCAAAAAATTGCTTCCACAGGAAGCATGCCGGTTGGAGTTCGAAAAGGGCAAGACTCGTGGCGATGTCATCGTCATGATGGCGCCTAGTTTGAAATAGCATTGCCGTTTTTAGTTGACAATGGGCCGACAGAAATGTCCTTTTTAATGCCTCTGTCACAGACTTTCAAGTCAGACACTGTGCTGTCTGAGTCTGATATTATGTGTGAGTTTCGCCCGTGATGCTCAGGAACACATGTACCTGGCTGCTCAAAATAAGAACTTGGCAGAGAAGAAGGCAGAGAAGGAAGCGAAGGCAAGCCCGGCCCCAGCAGCAGCTGCTGAGTCCGAGCCCATGGAAGCAGAGGAGGTGATTGCAGAAGAAGGCGAAGAGGAGGAGCCGGTGGAGGATGACAAAAATGTTGATTAGGACCAAGCTGTCGCTGCCATGCTGTGCCAAATTGGCCCAACCGACACATGAAATCTCCGCAGTGTCAGCTTGTGAGCAGCAGATGCAGGGTGAAATTGGCGAAAAAAGGGCGAGGGCCATTGCAAGTGCAATGTCAACTTGTAGATTGTCTGTGGGTCAATGACGTTTTACCAATGTCACAAAATAATTGCGGATAGGACCTGAGCGGCCATGAGACGCGTTGTTTTCCCAAAAGTAGCAGATGAATGTTCAGCAGCCAGATGCCGCTTTGTTGATTTTAGGGGAGTGTTTGGCAGCAAGATGCAGCGTTGTTTGCTTACTAGGGGAGGGTTCAGCGGCCAGGTTGCCGCTTTGTTTTCTTAATATTATAAGGGGATTGACAACTTTGTTCGTTTATTAGGGCAGTGTTCGGCGGCCAGGTTGAGTCTTTGTTTGTTTATTAGGTGCCCTGCGCTTGGTATTCAGTTCTTCCCGTGGCAATCAGCCGCTTTGTTTCGTCGTAAGCGTAGGTTTGTTTTCAGCGGCCTTGAGCCGCTTTGTTTATGGATTTTTTCATCTTTTTCCCAAGCGGCCACCGGGGTTTTCTGTCTTCACATTGAGGGGTCGTGCCCTTGTCTAATTTATCCTACATGAATTTCTTGAACAGTGATCTGGGTTTCGACAGTTGAGAAACGGATTCGTTGAGAGAAGTTTTGCACGATATTGCGCATTCAAGAATCAGATCAAACCTTGACCATGAAACGCTAAAATCCAAAACCCTTAAACGCCCAAACCCTTTAGACATAAGGTATCCCAAACCCTCAAACCCTTGGACCCTAAAACCCTTAAACCCTTAAACCCTCAACAATAAACCCTCAAATTCTTAGCAGCTTAATCCGTTATGCAAGTCCAGGAAAATCGCGCGCTGCCAGCACACATCCCCTTTTCTTACTTAAATCAAAGTAAGCCTTTCCTTACTGTACCCTTTTTTCGATTTATATTTGCTGGTGTTCTCCACCGCTGTTGTGTCATCATCACGATTTGAGAAAATTTATGTGCCTATATAATATCATATATATGATTTATTCAGCATCATCTTGCAATCAAAAAATGTCTACAAATTCTATGCAGCAAATCTTTTTACTGTCCATCCATCCATCCACCCATCCATCGATCCATCCGCATCCATCCATTCTCCATCCCATCCCATCCCATCCCACCCCAGCCAGCCATCCATCCATACATCATACTATTAGTCTTTCCATCCCATGCATCCGTCTATCTGATACTATCAATATCTACTTCTCAAGTTCAAAATGCTTGAGCAAACTATCTACTATCTATCTATGTACTATCTGTCTGTAGTTATCTATCTGCTCCATCCAGTCATCTAACTAATTTATTGCAAATGTTTCTTTATTTGTTTTCTTTCACTGAATTCTCTATGGTATTATTATCTATCAAGGACATCTTGGCTCCTATTTGTGTAACTAGCTACCTGTCTGTCACACTGTGTGTCTGTCTGTCTGTCCACTGTCTGTCTGTCTATCTATCCATTGACTAGTATGTAGAATATCGTTTTGTTGTTTTTTTAAATGGTCAAACCTAACAGCATCCATCTGATCTATTATCTAGTTGTCTATCTACTGCGATCTGTCTGTCAATCTGTCTGTGTCGTTCTGTTTGTCTGACTGTCCTGTCTGTCTGAGTGCCCGTCTGTCTGAGTGACTGTGTGTCTGACTGAGTGGCTGTCTGTTTGTTCATCATTTTATCAAACTGATACCTATGTATCTACTTGATACTATTGCGTATCTATGTCTTTAAAATCTGCCTACTTTTAAAAACAATCCATCTACTATCAACCCCTTATCTGCCATGCATTATCCATTCATGGTTAATCCCTCTACTACTTTTGCATTTGTTCATTCGTTGCCTGTCTTTTTCATCTAGTTATATATATATATCAAATCAAAAGGTATCATCTATCCACCGCACTCTGCGATATCTATCCTCCAAAATATTTTCAACATCTAATTTAATGTTTACTTTTTTTGATGCTTTATTGTTTAATTATTTTTCAAACGGAGTACTTATTTTTGGTACTTTTGTTTGTGCATTTACTCTAATCTTAGCAAACAACTAACCATAGTATCTCGTTATGATTTTGAAACTTTATATATATATATATATATATATTGCTGTCTATTTTATTATTTCCTTTTTTATTTTTTGAATGTCAATTGCTTTATTGCTAGATATGTTTCTTATTATTAATTATTATTTCCGTGGCAATGTGATCTTATACTGCCGGGTTGTTCCTTACCAATGCGCCCACAGTCTCTGGCTGGCTGCTGTGTCATGGAAAGTCTCACTGACCCAGCAGCAATGTCATAAAGACTGTGTCTGGCGGCTGTGTCACGCAGACCCAACAGCGATGTGTTAAGATTAGGTCTGACAGCTGTGCAGATAATTGTCACTGACCCAGCAGCAATGTCCCTGGCTGCTGTAAAAGGCAACAAAATGCCAAACCCCCAATTGCAAACCAAACCCCCGGTTGGCAGGAACAAGCCTTCTAAGTGACTGGAGCCTTGTATACTAGTTCAAGCTCTGACATCATTTCAACCTCCTTTGGGCCTCAAGAGCATCTTGTGATCAAAGTACCAAAGTGGTGCCTCGACTGTGTCACCTCCATGTATTTTTTTTGAGCCCTCATGCACATACATGGATCACATGCGGGAAGTTGCTGGAATTCGGACCAGATTCCTGATGAGTGATTCTAGCTCTTGTGCCTTCTGATCTTTGGCATTCTAGGGCTGGCAACCCAGGGCCCCAACACACGATGCTGACATGGACTTGCCTTCCTGTGGATGCGACTCATGGTTTTATCAGCTTTATCTTCATTGCTTTTAGTGTGCTCTGTGTGTGTGATTGGCATCTCTTGTTTGTCATGCTGCACCCGGAAATATGCTGTCTTCATTTCCTCGATTGCCATGTCTATTTCCTGTACCAATTGCTGACCGTTCACTTCAAGCAAGGGAATTACCCCACCCATCAATAGGTTTGAAAAACCTTGACCTTTGTCCCAGGCAGACCTTATGCATCACCGAGGTTCAAAAACTTGCGCTCAGGTAAAAATCCAGCTAAAATTCTTGTTGGATTGCGAATCTCAGTGTCCATGTCCT